AATAGACATAGTTAAAGTAAGTATACTATATATATATATATATATATATATAGATGGGCAAACTTTTTACGTTTTTCCCCTTATCCAACTGTCCATTTTGAATGGAGGGCTAAGATTGTTCCAATCACAATGTCACGTCTCTACACTAATTTATTTTTGATTTTTTCTATAAATTATTTTGACACCAAATTTTAGACGTCCAATCCACTATTAAACTCTCACTAGCGAAAAATATTAAAATAATATTTCTAATAACATAAAATGACCAAAATACCCTTGAAAGTTTCAAGGGTTATTTTGATCATTATACTTTATCGAAATTTATTTTTAATATTTTTTATAGGTGTGGCCCAATGAGAATATGGCACGTACCAAATTTTATAGTTATAAAATTTGTATAAAAAAAACTAAAAATAATATACTTGGAGATGTCGGATCCAATATCAAACGGTGAGTGGCTCTCTTGATCAAAATTGGACGGATGGATCTTTTATGCTGTATGGGAAGTATAGAAACATCTCCTTTAGGGATAGAGAGAGTTATGAAGGGTGGATTTATTAATTTTTTTGTCTATTTTTTAAAAAAAGTTATTTTTGAAGGGCAAATTTGTAAATATTACTACAAGACAAATGGTATTTTTGTCATCTCCATAAGGGGTAAAACTGAAAGATATCAATATTCTGTTAATAGATCTCCATAAGGGGTAAATATTCAAAACATTAGAAAGAAATATCACAATTTTACTAAAAGCAGAAATATCACATTTATTTCTAACAATAGACAAGAAAAATAAATAAATTTATTTTTCATAATTTACAGCATTCAAAATTTCTGACATAGATAAAATATCACAATTTTTATTAAAAAGATTATTTTTCAAGATAATGAGGTCACGTGCGCATAAAATTTATCGCGCCTAAAATTCATGATAATAAGCAGAAATAATTATTTCATTTCATTTTTAAAAAGAATGGATTATTTTTTGAGACAATGAGGTCACTTACACACAAAACTTATAAAATAAAGATCTTGGACGGAAATATCACTATTTATTAAAAACAGACTATCTTTCAAGAAGATGATGTCACTTACTCACAAATATTTGAGAGGGAGCTTCCGATTAAAATTCGGCTCGAGAGAGGAGTTCACTGTGTTTCGTCCCGAGAGAAACATCTCATAAGTTTTCTAAGGTAGGAGTCTTCACCTCTCTGAATTTAAATTCTACTAACATATTATTTTATTCTTTTATTACGTTACAAGTGTGAGCGTTAGTTTACGCTTTAAACACCTAAAGCTTTTATTACGTTACAGGTGTGAGCGTTAGTTTACGCTTTAAACACCTAAAGCCCACGTCCTTTAGTGGACGATGGTCCCTAAGGACCATCATGTTCAAACGAATTGTCATGTATTAATAGTTTTTTTTTTTTTTAAAGTTTAG